AAAAAAAAAAAAAAAATTTTTCTGCTTACAATATGTGCTCATTGTGGAAATTTCAAAAGTATAAAAAAGCATATATAAAATTTAACTCAGCCATAATTCATCAGCCAGAGACAATCACTATTAACTTATTGAGGTCCATTTTTGCTATGCATATTCAAATTATTATTAGTTGAGATTATACTGCTTATACAGTGGTATATCCTACCCTTTTCATCATCATATTATGGGCATTTTCCATGTTAAACATTTAACTTCACATTTTTACATGGTACATTTTAAAAATTGAATTTGGCTGTAAAGTGTATAGAAAAGGTACTTGAATTATTTATCAAGCACTTTATTATTTGCATACTTTTTTAAAGCTCTCTGATGTAAAGGATGGAGTAAATCAAGCGGCACCTACATTTGGATTTGGTAGTAGGCAAGCACCAACGTTTGGGTCACCAGGTAAGTGATAAAAATAAGATTTTATAGGTTTCAAATTATAAAGCGTGAATCACCATTTTAAATCACCTTTATTAATTCTACTTGCCACCTTCCATTATGGAGCCTCAAAGGATTTAGCTCATTAAGCATTTGTGAAAGGGAGGCCGGAATGAGCATGTTCTTTGAAAGACCCTATGGCTCAGGCTTTAAAAGTACATTCTAGGAGTGGTTTTTCAAGAGTTTCATAGGAATACATGGCTTTGATAGCATTATCTTTGAGAACTTTCTTGTCACTGTATGTAACAGCATAGCATTGCCCTTAAGTGTCAGCTCTGGTGAGATGGTTGGCAAACCAAAAGTCCACTCCCTAGTCCTTAAAGTTCTCCCTGGGTGAAGGTAATCACAGTGTAAATGGGATTGGTAGCAGAAAGGACAGGACAACAGAGTTTAATGGCTTTGTTCTAGCCTATCATTTTTACTTCTCTTCCTTCTAATAAGCTTCTAACCATCTAAACATGGCAGAGACTGGGAGGATAATATGGCTACGTTTTCTGACTGTAATCATTTTCGTTGTGTTTTTTGTAGGTTTTCCAGTTAATAGCAGCAGCAGTGATAATGCTCAGAATTTTAGTTTTAAAACGAACTCTGGATTTATCCCTGCCCCTTCTGGAAACCCTTCTGTGTTTGGACGTCCTCCAGCATTTGGAGCTGTATCTTCTGCCAGTTCTGCCATCTCTACTTCTACTCCAGCTTTTGGATTTGGGAAACCTGAAATCACATCTGCCGCTTCATTTTCATTTAAAAGCCCTGCAACTTCCAGTTTTGGATCACCCGGATTTTCAGGATTTCCAGCTTCCTCAGCAGCAGACTCTGTCAGAGCTCCAGTGGCCCCGGCCTTTGGAAGTGTCAGCTCTGTGGCTGGTTTTGGTAGTCCAGGCTCACATTCTTACACTGCTTTTTCTAAGCCATCTAATGACACCTTTGGAAATAGCAGCATACCCAGCTCTCTCTCGGTATCAAAGAGCATCGTTGCAACAGATAATGTATTATTCACACCCAAGGATAAACTAACGGTGGAAGAACTGGAACAATTTCAATCCAAGAAATTTACTCTAGGAAAAATCCCATT